TGGGGGTACGGGTGGGGGTGGGGGACACTGCTGCCCCGGTCCTGGCCGGCCAGTCCTCCACCTTCCAGTTCGTCAGCTGGCGCCACGTGGCCCTGGGAATGTCCACCCTGTGCAAAGCCGCCTCGCCTAGGAACAAAGTAGGAAGGGTCCCTTGAAGCGCTCCGCGTTTCTCGGCCACACTGCTCGGTGCCCGCGGCAGCCCCGGGCACACTGGCTTTCTCCAGGCGAGAGACCCCGTAGGCACGCCGTGCGTTCCGGGGGCTGCAGGGCGAGGACGCTATGTGCCCAAAACACACAACCCGGCAAGGTGAACACACACAAAAGGGGGCGGAAGTAGCAGGAACGAAGCACTCTCCTCCTCGGACAACACGCCTTACCCCGACATGCCGCCCCGGCTCGCCACATGCCCCGGCCCCGCAGGGCCTGACGGGCCTCTCTCACCACCTGGAAGGAAAGAGAGTTTGTGGACACTCCATGCTTGGGAAGCTGAAGAATCCCGGGAGCTTGGCTGTCTGCAGCAGCAGGACCCGGAGCTCCTGGCCACCCCCCCAGAATGCGGCTGCACGCGTCCACGGTTGGGGTCAGCCTGTACCTCCTTGCCACCGCGCGTGGTCTCGGCCGGCCGTGCTCGAGTCCACGCTGCCCTGCCAGGCGCGGTCCTGGTGGTCTTCTAGCCTCTGGCTGTGCTCTCCCCAGTCGCGTCCACCCCTTTGCCAGGAGAAACAACATACAAAACTGTCCAGATGGGCCTGAGGTCCTGCCGTCAGAAGGCCACCCCCGCACGCCAGCGTCCCTCCCCACAAGGGCGGGGGGCACAGCTCAAAAGGAGATGGGCAGAAGCTTCAGAGAGAAGTGGGCAAAGGATGAGAACAAACGTTTCTCCAAAGATGGACGAGCGGCCAACAAGCACGGGAAAAGTTGTTCGACATTGTTAGTCACGCCAACCAAACCAAACCCACTGCTGTGGCGCAGACGTGTGGCAGGAGCAGCAAGCAGAGGTTGGGCCTGCTGCTACCAGCAACCGCCAGCGGGGTGGACGTAAGCCAGCCCCAAAGACAGAGCCACGAACAGGCACCTTTGGTCGGCCAAAAGGGTCCGTGCCCTCTGCATGCTGCCCTTCAGCCAGCGTGTGTCGGGGAGGCCAGTGAGGGGGCAGGCTCGGGCAGTCAGAACACAGGCTGCAAAGTTCTCTTCACTGGACACTTCCCCGGCAAGCCCAGGGCAGAGTCAACAGGCCGATGGGTCCCCCAGAGCTGGAGCAGCTGGAGGTCGCGCCACGAGAGGCACAGTGTGACATCAGCAAGGTGGCCCTGGAAACCTCTGGAAGGATCTCGCCCAGTGTCCCCAACCCTGACTGCATGCTGAAATGGGGGGATGGGGATATGGTACTAAAACACCCTGGCAGCCAGGTTCCTCTCACTGAGCTCCTACTCCACCTGCTGTCCTGGGGGGTGAGGGGCCACCACCCGACAGGTGAGTGTCATGTGCATTCAGGGAGGAGACGCCCGGATCCAGACCAACAGGGGATCGGAGCAGAGACCCCAGGAGGACATGGCATTGCTTACACGTGTCTGAGGGGATTTAGGGGGTAGGTGATGTCCACACTTATAGACCGGGGACAGGACAGCACCAAGAAAGGCTTCAAGTCATCAGAAAGAGAAAGGTTTTCTGGGTCAGAGGCCCAGGCGACAGGCCGGCCCCTCAGCCTCAGGGGTGAGCCGGTTGCTCCATCCTTGAGGGGGCGGCCTTGCCCCTCCTCTCGAGATCCTGATTCTGGGAGACTTGCCACAGAGAGACAGGGGTTTAGTAGGGGGCCCGGCTGCAGGGCTGACCTCTCACGGGTGAGGACCGAGCGGCGCTGCTCCCCCAGCCCTGCCCCCGCCCTGCCCATGCTAACCTGGGTGCAGACGGCAGCGACCGGCCTTCACTCAGCCTCTTGTCCGGGCCGTAGCCCCCCCAGCCGTCGCGGGAGTCCCGGCTGTGGCGCTCTGGGGGCCCCCCGTGACTGTGGCGCTCATCGGAGTAGTGCTGGAAGGCACAAGGCACAGGGGACGCTCTAACCGCGGACCCGCACGCGCCTCCGGGAAGCTCCAAGGTCACTGTCCCCTGGCTGGACAGCGACAGGAGCTCCTCAACATCCTCCTTGCTCAAGAGTCCGAGTCTACTGAAAGCTGTGTCTCCCTCTCGAGGTGTTCATGGGGACCCGTCCGTGGGTGCCCCTCTGGCCTGCCGTGAGCACTGACAGCCCCGTTCTCTCTGAGGCTTGATGGCTCTGCTCAGGGTCACTGAGAAAACAGTGACCGAGACCTGGTTTTCCCCCGGAGTCAGACGTCCCCTCCTCTCCGAGGACAAAGGCCTTCCTTGGGGGAGGTGTCTCTATCTTCACTCTTCATGACACAGTGTCCTCCGACCCTCTCAGGACACCCCCATTCTGTCTCCCTGACAGACTCGGGGTGGAGGGGGTCTTTGTGGGGAGGGAGGGTACAGGCCTGACACCCAGAAGCAAACACCAGAGTATCTATCCCTCCCCAGCCAAGCATCGACGCGGGAACCCAACAGACCCAGGCAGTAGGGGAGAACTGTGTGATGATCTTGCAAAAAACACCCCAACAAATTGAAACGGCAGCTGTCCTGATTCCTGTCCCCCACCTTTATCGGGGAGGCCACCCCCTTTCCCTCCTTCCCCCACACCAATGCCCTATACCCAACTCCCAGGGCACCACAGGTGACCAAACTCAGGGGCCGCTCCTGCGGCCCTCACATCCCCAGGGCCCAGCACAGGGCCAGAAACAGAGAGAACCCCCAAATCTGGGCTGGACAGTGACTAGCCACACCTATCACCTAACTGATGGCAGAGATACCATTTGGGGGGCTCTGGGGCACTCCCACAGTGCCTGGATTAAAAGGCACGCTGAGCAGGAGGGAATCAATAGACACTTGCAGTTCCTACCAGATATAATTAACCAACAACGATCTCCATGTACTTGAAAAACACAGGAACTCAATAATCAGAAAACAGTCAAACATCTGCACTTCTAACTACTGGTCAGAACGGATGTTTCCATCCCCCTGGCTCTCCGGCACAGGCCACCACCGACACAGGCCACCCGCCAGCACCCCCAAACCCGGGAGTGGTGTCTGGGTTTACTCACCTGCCCGTCTCGCTCACCCATCAGTGACCTGGAACTTCCCCTCCTGCAAAAGGGAAACAACTCATTCAAACAGCGGCAACAACAGGACGTGGATTTTTACAGGCCATGAAAAAGGGCTTCACAATTGGGACATTTACTCTGTTTCAACTTTAATAACTTTAATTCGCTGGCCTAAAAAAAAAAGCCAGCTTGAATCTAAAGGCTTTTTCCTGGGGGCTGGAAAGAAGCCAGATCCTAAGAAGGCGGGAATAAGGATTTTACTGAACTAACATGCCCTGGTGGTGCAGTGGTTGAGAGCTCGGCTGCTAACTAAAAGGTCAGCAGTTCAAATCCACCAGCCATTCCTTGGAAACCCCATGGAGCAGCTCTCCTCTGTCCTGCATGGTTGCTTTAAGTCGGAATCAACTCAGCGGCAACAGGTAACATGCCCAGAAAGGAGCCCCAGTGGTGCAATGGTTAAGTGCTCAGCTTGCTAACCAAAAGGTTGGCGGTTTGAACCCACCCAGCAACTCGACAGCAGAAAGACCTGGCTATCTGCTCCCATACAGATTATGACCCAGGAAACCTTATGGGGCAGTTCTACTGTCACATGGGGTCACTATGAGTCAGAATCGACTCCACAGCAGCCAACATCAGCATCATCATCATCATCTTCCGCAGAGGTTTCAGAAGCAGAGACCCACACCACGAAGCCTACTCATCATCACCCGTGGCCCGGTGACAAGAGCAAAGGGAACAGGGACAAGCAGAAGCCCCAGATGATCCCTAAGCCGTGGTGGGACCTAATCCAGTGACTCACGCCGGATCTTATAAGACAGCTCCCGCGGTCTAACACTGAAATGTGTCACTGTGCCCCCACCTCTCTTGTTCTCCCTCTTTCCACCCCCCTGAGGGAAGAGCCAGCGAGGGCTGGACCAGTTCCCAGAAGTGCGGCCCAGGGAGCACATGGGAACCCACGAGACAGAACCCCAGACCTGGAAAACCAAGGGCTGGCTTTACCAAACTGGAGAGAACAACCAGGTGCCATTGAGGGGACGGTCCCTCCCGTGCCCACTTTTGCTTTCCACCCAGGCCCACGCTGAGGCCTCCCCAAGCTCCACCCAGCCTGAACCCCACAGATAAGCAGCCAGGTTGCGCCTCAGCTTTCCAGGGAAACATTTACAACACCTTACAGTAGTAATGCCCGCGAATCCGTGGATCCACACCTGCTAGACATTATGAACCCTGCCTTCGCTTGCCGCCCTCTCTCCTGCTCCTGACCTGGGATGGACGACTGTCGTCTGCACCTCTCAGGCTGTCCCTCCTGCACCTCAAGGATCTATAAATAATAAGCTTTCTTAATATCGTCATTTCGTGCCCGTGTCATTGAAACTTCGCCTATGATACTCAAACCTCGGTCTCATCCAGTGAGGCCTTGCCTCCACCTGGATGGACCCCCACCCCCGGTCCCCTCCTGGTGGGCCTTTGCTTTTCTAATTCAGTACTTGGTATACATCCTCTTATCAGAACTGCATTAAGGAGACACACACTCAAACCAGCGTCTCCAACTCATGGTGACCCCACGTGTGTCAGAGTAGAACTGCGCATCGTAGGGTTTTGAATGGTTGAGTTTTCAGAAGTAGATCGCCAGGCCTTTCTTCTGAGGCACGTCTGGGTGGACTAGAACCTCCAACCTTCCAGTTAGTAGCTGAGTGCTTAAGTGTTTGCACCACACAGGGACTCCATAAACTGCGTATACTTCACACTGAAGAAGTCACTGGCCAAAAAACCCACCTAGACCCTCGAAAGACAAAGCAGTCCTATCAACGAAGGACGCACTTCTCAGTCATTCTTGCCAGGTTACCAGCACAGGAACCTTGCTTGTCTGCCAACCCTGAGCGCGCAGCCTAAAGCCCCAGCCGGCCCCCTGGACCGCGGCCCGGCCCGCTCTGCCTCTTAGGCAGGCCACACCCCTTCCCTAAGCCCCCAACAGGAAACCCTGCCATGCCCTCCTAAAGCCCTTCCGGGCCCCAAAACTATGACTCCAGAGGGCGTCAGGCTCAGCGGGTGGGGCACGAAGAGGAGGCGTGGCCGTGAAGAGATGATGAAAATACCCACAGCCCAGAGAGCTGGGCCACAGGCTCACAAGCACCCCAGCAAGAGCTCAGACTGCCGGGAACCAGCCCAACCGAGTCGGGAGGCCCAGGCTCGGGTCCTGTCCTGCCGACAACCACCGGCGTGCTCCTGGGCGAATCGCACCTCCAAGGCCGCCCCTGTGCTTTCGGGGAAGCGAGGAAGGCGGACCTCCCGCTGGAGAAGCCAAGATTCTGGGACCGGTTCTGGTACCCTGGGCTCAAGCTCTGTGCTTTCTAAATCCCACGTGCAAGGGATCAAAGTTACTCCCGGTGGACTTTGTAAAATAACCGGGTTTTCAAAGACCAGGCCAAGTCCCCTCTCTGCAGCAGGCTGAGGTATGTGGGTAGCCCCGGCTGCAGAGGGAGGACGGAGCCGCTCACCTGTCAACCACGTGGTCCTGGTACTGGCCCCGGCTGCGGTGGTCGAAGTCGTGGAAGCGGTGCTCTGGCCGCGGGAAGTCTGAGCGGTATCTGTCCTCCAGCGCCGCCCGTTTTCCTTCTGGCCAGTAGACATCATCTCGCCTATTTTTTTCATTTTAGAAAAAACACAAATTCCATTTAGGAAAGAGAGCAAGGGAAAAAAGGAAAAGCTGGAGGTGGGGAGGGAAGTTCTCTCTCCAGCCCGAGTATCATTTGAAATGTCCTGCAGCGCTAATCTCTCAACATTCAACCATTATCCCTTTGATTTGATAAATTAAAACCCCCCAATCTGCCAAGGGGCCCACTGGTCTTCTCATCTGACAATCCTGGGGAAGGGACAGCTGTGCCCTAATTGTATCACAGGCTGTTAATACCTTGATCCCCGCGTGAGCAAAATCGAACGTTTGATTCTTTTGGAATGGGGTTGGAATTGCCACATTTTTACCTTCCCTGTCTTCTATTAGCCTGAACTTCCCTCTGAGTTTTCTGCAAAGGGGATCAGATCAGCTGGGGACAGCAGCCAGTTACAATGACACCTGAGAGAGCCGGAACTCAACGGGTTGCCTTGTTTTTCCTGGTCTCGCAAGCTTTCCGCCTGTGGCAGGGTGCAGTCTAACCGCTTTTCTAGCGCTGTTAGTGGAAGATATCCGAGCTTTCCTTCTCTGATAGGTTTCTGCCTTACACAGGTTCCAGCTTTCTATCTCCTTCCTGGTTTTCCCCAGAAAGCCTGCCTCGTGGGCAGTGGGGCAGGGGTGGTCATCCGTTAAGCAGCTCAGAGGCACTGGAGACCCATAAAGCTGCCTTTTCCCTCAGAAGGCAGCTTTCAAGAGGGCCCTCTCAGGTCTCTTCCCCTGGAAGGACACACGGAGACCGCTGAGGCGGATGCGGGCCTCACACCCGCTTGAGTGTCTTGAGATTAATGCCCAGAAGACGGCTGCACTCCACTGGGTGCCCCGGGGCAAGTGAGAGACCAGCCCAGGTGCTGGCCCAGGTGAAGGGGGCACGGACAACCTTCAGCAGGTTCACTGTCAAGATGCTCTGAAGACTGACGTGACCGGGAAAAGGCCGCCCGGCCGTGGCGTGGCGACACTGAGCTATGCAGGCCGGGGGTGGTGCTCAGGGCCGGTTCTGAGACGGTGGTGCTGGGTTCCCCTTCAGTATCTCCATTATCCACACTAAAGTGGACAGGAGCAGAGCCGGCCGTTCAAAGTGGCAGGTAAGTGCTACCTCGCCCTCATTTGCGGCCTCCGCCCTGGCCTTCTCCACCTGACGGCTGGTGACGGTGGCCATGGTTTTCAGCGCCCTGTCCTCCCACCAGCCCAGCATGCTCACTGCCCTTTTATGTTGTAGGGCCCGCACCCTGGCCTTCTCCACCTCACAGCTGGTGAGGGTGGCTGTGGCCCTCAACCCCTGCATCCCCCCAGCCCAGCGTCCTCACCGGCCATCCACGTCGTAGGGCCTCCGGAAGGCTGGCCGCCGCTCCTGTTCGTAGCGCAGCTTCTCCTGCTGGCGCCGCAGCTCCTCGCGCTCGCGGTGGATGCGCTCCTGCTCCTTCCGGCGCTCACGTTCCACACGCATGCGCTCGCGCTCCAGCCGCTCCCGCTCCCAGCGCTCACGCTCTAGCCGCTGCCGCTGGCAGTCGAGCTCCATGCGCTCCCGCTGGAGCCGGGACTTCTCCTTCCTCTCGTGGAAGGCCTCCAGGCGCTGCTCCCGCTCCCGCTGCTCCCGCTCCCTGGGGCAGAGAGGCCGTCAGAACTCTCCTGGCAGGTGCACCGTGCCAGAGAGCATCTCTACAGGAGTCGGGGGAAACACCTGGCGATGTCCCCTGGCTCCTGCTGCCACCCAGCAGCTACTGGGTGGCAGGTGCTAACCCACCGGTGCTAAGAGGCTCTCGTCAGCCAGAACCCCCAACTTGATAACGTTTCCTTTTTTCAAAAAAAAAGGGACGTCCAAGGACAAGCCGGGAGGAAGGCAGGATAATAGAGAGGAGACACAGCTTTGCGCAAGACCAGGAAGGTTCAGCTGACAACCAGCACCAGCTGTGGTCAGCTCCAACTAATAGTGACCCTACTGTGTCAGAGCAAAACTGTGCTCTATAGGGTTTTGAGGGGCTGAGTTTTCAGAAGTAGACTGCCAGGCCTTCTGTAGCGCCTCTGGGTGGAATGTCAAAACAACCTTTTGGTTAGCAACCAGTTAGCAACTGAGCATGTTAACTGTTTGCACTGCCCAGAGACTCCTAAGACTCAGCTCACGGCTGTCAAAAGGAAGCCGCATATTACTAGGGAGGGGGAGGCCCAGAACAGCATGATGCTCCGATCCCATGGGGGCTGGACAATCGCTGCTATTAACGCACCCGTGTATAGGAAAGAACCTTTTCAGAGATGGTAACTGCAGCTGTGTTGTGTGTGTTGGGGGCATATGTTTTCACTTTCTGTGTTACGGATTATAATGAGCCTCCCTTGTTTTCACACCTCCTTCAAAAAAGCCCACGTATTTTTAATGACAAGAGACTCTAAAGATGTGTGGACAGAGGCCAGGCGGGAGAGAGGGGACCTGCTGAATGCTGCTCCAGCATTGGTGGCCGAGGCCTCAGGTCACAGGCAATAGCGTGCCAGGAGCTGCACACAGACATGGACTGCCTGGCTCTGTGTCTGAGGAGAGGCAGCACCCTCACCCCTCCTCACACCCCCTTCCCGGGCCCTGGAAAGGCTCCAAATCAAGGATGAGTGAGCGGGGAGCAAAAGGCCTCTGAAGGGGACCGGGAAGCTTGGTGATGGCTGTGACTTTCTGCAGAGAGGCTGAGCGCACGCTGCTTTAGGAAAGCAAACGTGACGTGGTTAGAATGCTGTCTGTGTAACCATCGCAGCACAAAGAGATTTCCCAAACACCACGGCGTCAAACTTCTCTTTCACTGAATGGTATTGGAGGGCAAAGAAGAACCAAAGAGAACTTTGCAAGCTCCAACATGAAATGGCACGACGTGACGGGAAAATGAGAGACCACATGTCACAGACTATGTCCTTGGCAAAGGGAGTGGTGACAAAGGTAACTGTGTGGGTCCGCGGCTGTCTGAAGACGCTACAAAACGGGGGCCTTTCTTTTCAAAAGTGAAGGTACTGAATCTGCAAACAGCACATCTAAGGCAACTCAACTCCAGGTGCTGTTCTGACCCTGTTCGTGTAGGTTGATTTACGGAAGTGCATCCATCAAAACCACGTCTAGGTGAGTTTCTACGCGGGCCGAGGTCTCACTGTCGCTGAGGAAACGCTGTGATTACAAGTGGGCCTCGCTGAGTCTTGTCCCCTTGTGTCCAATGGTTGTTCTTGGATAGGTACTGACCTTCCCCTTCGGACTCAGGGTGAACACACGAGAGCCTGGCAAGCCTAGGTGGCTGCTCTCAGGCACAGGGAGGAGACTCTCCCAGAGCACGTTTGGGGAGAAGGGGAGAACCCCTGGAGGGAAGCAGACAGCCCCTGCCCACCACCTGCTCACCGCCGCCTCTCCGTCTCCCGGATCTCCCGCTCCCGCTGCCTCTGGCGCTCGCGCTCCCGCTGCTCTTTGATTTTATCAAACGACAAGATGTCTCTCTTCTCTTTGCTTTCTGACTTGCGGTCCTGACTCTTGGAGCTCTGTTGGGCAAACGTAGTGTATTCAGGTCAATGAAAACTAAAGGTGCCTATGTGGTTAGATGACCCCTCGGTCCCCCCTGGTTTATACAGTAGGCCTTGGTCTCAAACAAGAGGCCCGGTCGAGCCTGCCTGCCTCCGAGCCTGGCTTAAGCACCCAGAGAATGTCTTGCTTTCAAATATCAAAATGCATTAACGGAAGAGAAGAGGTTGGAAGAAACCTCAGAAAACCAGTAGGCAGGTTTTCTAGAGCAACAGAACCAAGTACTCCCTATGATCCAAAGGAAAATTTGGCTGCTCTGAGGCTGTCCCCCAGCGACATGCAAGGCTTGTCCACACAATGCAACCGTGACCCAGCAGGAAGCCGGCAAACAGCTGTGTGGACAGCTGGGTGAGGGGCTGCACTTTTCTCTCCTCAAGTGCTGGCTCAGGCCTCAGGCAGATGGCCTTAAAACAGCCTAAGTCAAAGATGCTTTCATGTAGAACGAACTCCTGACAAGGTACAGAGCTCTCGTGGTACAACAATTAAGCACTTGGCTGCTAACTAAAAGGCTGGCAGTTCGAACCCGTTCAGCGGCTCTGCAGGAGAAAGACCTGGCAATCTGCTCCCGTGAAGATTACAAGTTAGGAAACCCTATAGAGCAGTTCTACTCTGTCACATGGGGTTGCCCTGAGTCAGAACTGACTTCGTAGCACCTAACAACGAGATACAAAACATGAAGGCTCAACTTCCCTAAAGCTATTTCTGAGACTCTCACAGGCAGTGACAATCACACTGGCCTCAACTCTGCCAGGAAGCTTTTACACAGCTTGGAGTCCAGGGCCCTCCTTAAATCCACAAACTCAGAATCTCCAGGGGCAGGGGCCTGGGAGATGACATTTGAAAACAAACTCCTCAGCTTATTTTCTTAAGTAGCTCACACAGAGGAGAAAATTGTTAATAAAAAATAAAGCTACCTGATCAGAGACCCTTGCCAGGGACCCACACACATACACCCCCAATCAATGAACGTGTCCTCAATGACCTTTCTGAAGGGCAATGTGAGACCCTCCAACCACAACAATGTGTATACACCTTCTACCCCAGTAATCCATCCCACTGATAGGCTCTTGCCTCGTAAGTAAAAGTTTGCCAACAGCTATGCATATGAATAGGAGCCCCAGTGGCGCAATGGTTAAGCACTTGTGGCGCAATGGTTAAGCACTTGGCTACTAACCAAAAGGTTGGCAGTTCGAACCCACCCAGTGGCATTGCAGAAGAAAGGCCTGCTGATCTGCTTCCATAAAGATTATAGCCAAAAAAAAAAAAAACTCTATGGGGCAGTTCTACTCTGTCACATGGGGCCACCATGAGCTGACATGCATATGAATGCCCACCACGACAGCTTTTAATAGTGGAGGTAATAACAACCAGACCCATCAATTGGGAACTGGTTAAAATGATCAGGATACACCAGGACAAAAATAGATGAATCCTGATAGAATGGGAGAAAAATGTGGAACAGAACCTCAAATTCTTAAAAAATCCAGACTTACTGGACCAGTTGAGACTGGAAGACTCCCCGAGACTACTGCCCTGAGAGGCTTCAAACCCTGAACTGAAACTAGCCCCCGCGGTTATTTTAGAACTAAACAACAGAACAGCTTACAAAATAAAATCACCTGTGAGTACCGTGCTCTTTAAAAAAAAAATCTGTTATGAGACCAAATGGTCAACAATTACTTTACAACAAAGGCAAGTAAGTAACAAAGCAGGGAAACTAGATGAACGGAAGTGGAGCAACCAGAACAAAACTAATGAGAACGTCCACACATTGTGAAGAATGTAACCAATGTCACTGAACAATGTGTGTGGAAATTGCTGAATGGAAATCTCAACTGCTGTGTAAACCTTCACCAAAAACACAGTTAAGATATTACTTCTAAAAAAAAAAAAAGACCAGGGTACATCTATACACTGAATAAGAAAACCAACTGCTATTAAGTCAATTTTGACTCATGGCAACCCCATGTGTCAGAGCAGAACTGTTCCATAGGGTTTTCCAAGGCTAATCTTTCAGAAGGAGATCTCCAGGCCTTTCTTCTGAGGTCCCTCTGGGTGGTGTTAGCAGTGAAGCGCACTCACCATCTGCACCACCCAGAAACAAATCAAATAATACACAGCTTCTAAAGGGAAAAGGAGACCCGTAAGAACCTGGATGAACCTCAGGGCATTGTGCTGAATGAAAAACGCCAATCTGAAAGGTCACATGCTGATGATTCCATTTAGAGCCGTTCTCACGATGACAAGATTACAGAGCGACTGCCAGGGGCCAGAGATGTGGCAGTGGGATAGGTGTGACTATGCAGGCACAGCTTTGTGGTGACGGAACAGTTGTGTACTGTGATGGCAGTAGTGGCTACACGAATCCACACATAACTGCATACAACCAGACACACCTGGAAGGAGCCATGTTGGTACAATGGTTAAGCATGTGGCTGCTAAGTGAAAGACTTAGAACCCACCCTAAGGGACCTCATGTGACAGAGCAGAACTGCCCCATGGCTATAATATTCACGGGAGCAGCTGTGTGTACAACTCAGGAAACGCAGCTTCGTCTCATGTACTTTGGACATGTTACCAGGAGGGACCAGTCTTTGGAAAAGAACATCATGCTTGGTAGAGGATAAGCAAGAGAGACGAACACCGTCAACGAGACAGAATGACACAGTGGCTGCAACAACGGGCTCAAACATAGCAAGGACTGTGAGGATGGCGCAAGACCGGGCAGTGTTCCGTTCCGTTGTACGTAGGGTCGCTGTGAGTCGGAACCAACTCAATGGCACCTAACAATGGTATCATCTGATAACAGGAGGCCCTTCCTGGCACCAACAGTGAATGTACTTGACTGCTCACCAAAAGGTTGGCAGTTCAAATCCACCTAGAGACACCTCGGAAGGCCTGGCCATGTACTTCTGAAAAAATCAGCCACTGAAAACCCTGCGGAGCACAGTTCTACTCTGACACACGTGGGGTTGCCATGAGTCAGAGTTAACTCCATGGCACCCGGTCTGGTTTCTATCTGATAACATGAACGACACTGTTTAGGGTAGGTTCTCGGTTTTCCTTCAGGTTAATAGAAGACTAGAAAAATCAACTAAAAAAAATTTAATAAACTGCCCTCCAGCTTGAAAAGCCTGGGTTCTGCCCCTCCTATCCCAGGGTGGGCCGTATTTTGCCGATCAACTGTCTTTCCAGAAGACAGCATAACCTGATGAAGAATGGCAAAGGGTCAGCCCAGATAAGGAAAGCCAACAGGCAGGTACTCTTTGAAAAGAAGCTTTAGAACTTAATTTCATGTCTAAACCCTGAACAATATGCCTCCTGAATACTTCGAAGAACTCTTCCAATTTTAAAGGCCAGACAAGAGTTTTCATCATAAAACTCACAGTTCTTAAACTACCACCCAAGCCAGCTGGACTTGAGGTGGCCCCAGCAATACTCACTCTCTCTTTGGATCTGCTCGTGGTTTTCACGCTGATGACGGGCTCGCCTTTGGACTTGTCCATCACGACTGTCCGCTCCATTCCTCTGCTTCCTTCAGGAAGAAACAGCCATCTATCAAACACACCAGCACCCCAACTTCCCAACACCAGCAACCTGGATTAAGACTTGGGCGTTAGACTCATGGGATCAGGTCAGGCGACTAATGCTGACCTTTGGGACCCCCCTGCTCCTCATCTTTCTACTGATTAGGTCATCGGGTGCTGAGCCTGTGGCCTGCAGTAAGCACTGAGATATGGTGACACTGGATATGAAGCAGCTAGCATGCCTTGATCAGTTTGTTCATCTGGGGTAAAGCAGCTGTAATCTGTTTACGTCGTACAAATTAATTTCAGAGGGAAAATGCATTTTGCACGTGTACACAAACACATCCACTCAAAAATCCTTGCCCTTCGCACTGAATTCTAGTAGCCCCAGGATAACTGTTTTTATTTTGATTCCTCCCACACACCTGTAAAGCTCTGCAGTGCCTGGACCCGTGTGCTTGCAATCAGGCACCGCTGTCTGTGCACTGCACGGCCCCACAGTGTGGGGAACACGGCCAGATGGGGAGGGGGGTCTCCTTTACCCATCCATACCAATGAAGGCTTCCACACCAGCTCTTTCTCCCTCCGGTATGATAAGCAGGCTCTAACCACTGGAACAATGACTTATTTAGGGAGATTTACAATACTTAAGCGTGTTTTAAACACCCATTCCTCGTTTTGAGATTGCTGCTAAATTACCCTGAACACCTAAGATCTAACTCGCGATGTGCTGTATCAAATTTCAATGCTCTAGATGGCTGGCTTTTTTGTTTTTGTGTTCTCAAGGGATGGGTTTGTTTGGGCTACAAAACGTTCTGTGGAGTCTCACGCAAATTCTAAGGTGCTGAACACAATAAACTTAAGAAAAATGACAACATAAGTGGGATGTTCCCAATACCACCACCTCAACAGGTATAGATGTTTGGAGATTGTAGCTTTCTCTACCTTTTCTGCTCTGTCTGACTTTATTATAAACACAGAGAAAACATGATGACACACTTGTAGAATTCCATCAAATTAGTAACAAGGAACCAGGACTGCTCCCTCATGCAAACTGCACACTATATTTGGCCAAAGACTTAGGAATAGCAAGAACCCAGGCCGCTGAGTTTACCAAGATACAGAAATCACACTAAAGCTGTCGAGAGTAGTTCCAGACCTATGACACTGTAGAATGTCCATGAATCCGATCCATTACCCAAGGCTCAGCTTCTCTAGTGCCTACCTAGAGACAGTAAAACCCAGCAAAGTCAGCTTTCAAAAGCCGGCGGCCTCACTTTATCTGGAGCCCTAGCTATCTGACACTGGCTTTGCCCCTTTCACTGACACGTGTCAGATTCCAGATTCCAATCACCTGATTTCGTGACTCTGGACCGGCTGGGAGGTGCAGGTTTCAGCTCATCTTGGTCTTTTTCTTCTTTTTTAATGTCTCCAGGCTTCTTTTCCTCCTTTCTCTCGCTCTTCTCTTCCTTCTTAATTATGGTTCTATTTGAAAACAGGGTCATAAACTTGGATGGTGAAACACTGGGACAGCATGGTTCACACTGAGTGGAACTGGCACACGGTGTCCACGTGGAACCAAGCACTCCGACAGCAGTGAGGTGGGGATGATTTAGAAACCACAGTCATGGTAACCCACCTCTCTAGGTGTGGGCACTGTTTCCATTTGTGGCATTTGCTAAATCTAGAAACATGCATACCGAAACCGGAGGTTCGTGGGGCTGTTTTCCCCAAATGCTAGATACACTGGTACACAAGACATGCACGTGTGCTGCTAGTATACACGGGAGAAACACGCCGACTATGTTTAAGAGCAATTATTAGGGACTGATTTTAAATCTTTTCCACCATGTATGAGTTACGTATTATTTTTACGTTTTGTAGGGGAACAGTTTTTCCAGATACAGAGTCTAACAGAGAGCAGAGACGCAGTAGAGTATGTCAAGTTCCTACTGAATAAACCAGTAGGCCTTCACCCTGAAAAACCAACACACCGCATCCAGTAATTGTGTACTTTTAGGGGGTAAAGTAGCATGTTATGCACCAGCAAATGAGGAAAGTGTTAGTAACCATTCAACCAAAGGCAATTTAATTTTAAGTGCCAAAATAAATCATTTCAGCTATTCAGACTTGTCTCCCATACTCCCTGCCATTTGTCTCAGGCAATTAAAACTCCACACGTATTAAATGCCAACCATGTGCCAGGCTCCCGGACAGGAGAGTCAGGCCCCACAGGGTCCTCTAACAAGTGCTCTTGTCCTCTTCTCCCCTGCCGACCTGGGCTGAGCTCTGGCCAGGCTGAGGGGACCTCTCGACTCATCCTTTCTCCTTCCTGAACTTCCACAGTGTAAACTTTGGGTTTTTTGTTAATAATTTTCAAGTAGTTTTAAAAATGCACACTGTAACAATTATGTTGTGCACCAGAACTGACACCTGTAGGTGCTTTTGTTAGCATACTGGGTTCTTCTTTTTAAAATAAACAAAATTTGGTGATGGTTGCACAACACAGTGAATGTAATTAACATCAACAAGCTGTACACATCACCAAATTATACTCACAAAAGGGATGGCAATTTGAACCCACTCAGAGACTGAGAAGACAGTAGTCCTGATGATCTGCATCTGAAAGATCACAGCCTTAAAAACTTAAGAGAGCACAGTTCTACTCTGCACGTGTGGGGCCACCATGAGTCGCAATCAGCTCGATGGCAACAAACCACCATCTCTTGGAAAGCTACGTGAAGGCAAAAAACCAAAAACAAACAAACAAAAAAAACAAAACCTGTTGTTGTCAAGTTGATTCCAATTCATAGTGATCCCACAGGACAGGGTACAACTGCCCCATAGGGTTTCTAAGGAGCGGGCTGGTTGATTTGAACTATCAACCTTTTGGTTAGCACCCAAGCTCTTAACCACTGTGCCAACAGGGCTCCAAGTGAAGGCAGTTTAGTTTTAACCCTGGGAGCAAATTGCTCGGTTAAGAGCAGGAGCTCTGAGGGCCGAGTCCCCTGGTTTAATAAAATCTGGGCCTTGTTGCCTCCCAGCTGGGCTGCGAGACCTTGGGTAAAGCACTTGCCCTCTCTGAGCTGGTCTCCTCTTCTACTACCTCACGGGACTGCTCCGAGGAAGCGCACCGCCGCAGTTACAATGTGTACCATGGACTATCTGACATTAGCTCGTTGTTTCTACCATCCTCTCTCCACAAACGTGGCTCACTTTTGTGATCAGAAAATAAATGCATAAAATGCAGTTCAAAGACACTAATAATACTAAGACCTCTCTGCTGTTCCCTGTATTCTACCAATACAGATTTTAGCAATGCTGACAAGATGTGTCTCTTTGGAGAAGCTGCCGATAGAATTATGGATCTGCCTCCCAAGGACATGAAGGCTAATCAGACACCCATCAGTCATGGGCCTAGACATTCCAATTTGGCCAGGGTGAAAACTGACAGTTACTTCTTTAAAAACCAAGTTCAACCTGTGAGTACCGATGATGCTCACGAACGTGTCTATTCAACTACAAATTTTCTTGCATAAACCACAACAGAAAAACATGGAATTACTGGGAGATTGATAGATTCTCTGCAAAAGGGTCAATTTTTTTGAGTGGGAGTGGACCTTGAAGTGGAAATAAATCGTGTTGACAACATAAATACAATGCAGATGCTCAACTTTCTGAGAATATCCAAGTCCACCTTCACAGACAAGCCTACGATTCTGACAGAAGTATAAATAAGCAATGCCTCCTTGGAAAGACTGGTCCCTATTTCTAATTTGGTTAAAGATATACACCACTTTACTGACGATAATAATACCTCAGACTCGTGGTCTACCGTGCCAAAATACCCCAGAATGCTGCAGTGAACTCCCGGGGCACCCTGGGACACTTTAAATTTTTGAGGGAAACAAAGCAACACCTGTCTGTCGGACATGACACACACAACCAGTTGGAGACGGTCCGTTCGTGACAGCAGCTCAGGCTGCCTTCCTCAGCATGATGTGATAGCTCTGCCAAGCTGGATTGGTGGCAGCTGCAGTGACAAAAAGCAAGAACTACATGAAAATCACTGCAGACTAGGAAACGACTCCAAGGTCTGAGAAGCTGTGCAGGGCCCTAAAGTTATTTAACAACGAGATAAAAATATTCTTTCATTTTATGTGTATTATTTTTTTCAAATGACTACTAAGTTCCTAGGACGTAAACGCTTACTAAGGATCACCTGAATCTACTTTTAAAAGTCACAGGTGGTTGTTATGTACCGTCGAGTCCATCCTGACTCACAGTGACCCCATGTGGCGGAGTGGGGGATTCCTAGACTGTAATCTTTACGGGAGCAGAATGCCAGGCCTTTCTCCCTTGGGGCCACTGGGTAGACTGGAACCTCCAACTTTTTGGTTATTAGCGGAGTGCTTAACCACTGCTCCACCAGGGCTCCTTTATCTCACTTGGTATCTGCAAATAGAAGGCTGGATACGGAAAGCGCAGCAAGATGCAAAAACCACCTGAAATTTGAACAAGAAGCTGAAGAGGTTGTTTACGTACAGAAGGAGACGAGGACGTGGGTGCTGGTTTCGTGAATGACACAGTGGCTGCCACCCGCCCTCCTCCCAGCCACCCTGAGAGAAAGGTTTTTTAAAGTCACTTTACTTTTCAGTTTTGATCTCCACAGAATGATGCCTGTCAACACTAGATGATTTTTCCTTCTTCACTTCACACTCTTTTCTCTCAGACAGCTTTTTCCCAGCAGGTTCATTTTTGGCCTAAAAAGACAACATGGACAGGAATGAGGAACGCAGCGGGCTCCCTCGCTTGTGAACTCCATGAGTTTCAACGGACAAGAAACGCCTCACCTTCTCTACGGAGATCATTCTTCCGTGCAGCTCTGTTCTGTGAAGGTGGTTAATGCACTTGGTAGCCTCGTCCGACGTCGACATGGTGACAAAGCCATAGCAGCGCGCCCCAGGACTGCGGGCATTGGTGACCACTTTGGCCCCGACGACCTTCACCAAAAGAGGCACTCTGATTTCTCAGATAACTAGACAGCTTACTAAAATTATTATAACTGAGAAACACAATCACTTCCACTAAATACGTTTTACTTCTCTGGAAACTGCTAGTTTTTTCAGAATTGGTTATTAAATTGGTTCTAACTAATCCTGCTCTTTCAAAATACAATTGCTTTCCATGTTAAGACCATTCCTTGTAGTGAAAAACCACCAACAAACACAGTTAAATTTCACTCATCATAACGTGGTTCATTAACCAAAAATGCCTCCCATTCTGGGACTGAGTTTCTGTTAGTGGTGGTGGAATGATCTGGAAAAGGATGGTGATTAATGGTTGCATAACATGACGGATATCATCAGTATTACTGAATTATATATGTAAAAATTGTTGAACTGGTAAACGTTTTGTTATACATATTAATTCCATAATTAAAAAACATTTCCAATGAAAATCTTTCCATTCTGATCATTTTGTCCAATTCCACTGTAGCCATGGATAGCTGAGGGGATATCCACTTGGAAACACACCCTGACCCATGCAGAGTAAGTCTGAGAACAGCTGTCACACAGACGTGGCCTATCAAGTATGCCCTCACAAGGAGAGGTCTTCCACTCTGGCCGTGATGGACTAACAAGCTTTCACCCTCCTGCCTGAAGCAACTCAAAAATGGACGAAACGGAAGCAACTACGGTTTTCAGACATCTACATCAAGCCACTCGGGACAATGACCCAAGAGAGGGAAAGTATGAGGTGGGCCCAATGGTGGCCCCAGCTTTTAGCCTGGAGTCTCCAGGCCATGGGCAGGGGGCAGGAGCTGAGGGGGTGCCATCCCTGAGGTGAGGAGACGGAGCTGAGAGTCTAAGGAGATCAAGGCAGCTAGACCGCACAGACCAGAGTACCAGAGAGGAGGGGGCTGCACACAGAGAGCTCCAGAGAGCTGCAGAGGGCTCCCCCTTGAGTTGGGGCTGAGCACTGAGCCGCGTGCACGTGGAGAAAACCACCAGGGGTTGGGAGAGAACCACCCCCAAGGAGCAGAGGGAGCAACCCTTGGATGTATTCAGGGCCGCAAGCAGTTCACTTTTCCCAACAGCCAGAGTAGAAAAGCTTGTAATTCACAGGACATCAAGCAGAACACTCAGAAGGGTATTTCCTCAGCACTGGGACAAAATTAGCCCTAAACTAAAGAAGGCTCCAGTACTAACAAGAAAGCATCAAATCAAGAATCAAAGGGCTCAATAACAGTTACAGAAACACAAGAATAACCAGCAAGGTAAAGTTCATAATGGCTGGTACCCAGTCAAAAAATCACTAGGCATGCAAAGCCTCCAGGAAGTAAGACCCATGATGAAGGGGAAAAAAAAATTGATAGAAAACAGACTCAGAAATGACACAGCTGATAGAATTAGCAGACAAGGATATTAAAAACAGTTATTCGGCTCTATTCTACATGTTCAAGAAGGTACAGAAATAATTATGTTAAGTAAACACATAGAAAATATTCAAAATACCTAAATCAAACTTCTAGAAATGAAAAATACACTGGATGGGATTAAAAACAAACACTGTAAAATAAAAGATTAGGCAACTTGAAGACATACTAATAAAGAAAATTATTAAAAAATGAAGCAGAAAAAAGACTGGGGGGAAAAAAAGAGCATCAGAGAGTTGTGGGACAACTTGGAGTCCCCAAAGGGGAAGGGGCAAAAAAAAATTAACAAAGTACCCCAAAGCACATCAAAATCAAATTGCTCAGAACCAGTGATAAAGAGAAAAATCTTAAAAGCAACTGCAACAGCACTGAGGAACAAAGGTCTTTAAAGTCAGAAAGAAAAAAAGCCAACCTAGAATTCTATACCCAGTGAAACTATCTCCCCAAATGAAGGCAAAATAAAGACTTTTCCAGACTTAAAAAAGCTGCAAGAATTCATTATCAGAAAGCCTGCTCTACAAGGAATGTTCCAGGAAGTCCTCGAGGAGGAAGGGAAATGATACCAAGTGGAAACCTGGATCTACACAAAGGGATGAAGAGCACCGGGAGTAATAAACACGTGGATTGACATGAAGACTTTTTGCTTATTTACAGACCTCTTTAAAAGATCATCGTTTAAAGCAAAAACAAGAACATACTTCGTGGTCTATGACACAGAATGGATGACAACAATAACACCAAGGCTGGGAGGGGAGAAATGAAGTATACTGCTCTAAGGTCCTTACGTTATACACAAACCGTTATAATGTCCCTTGAAAACAGACTACGGTAAGTTACGATGTATTATAATTCCTAAAACGACTTAAAAAAAAAAAAAAGTGATCTAACTACTAAGTCAACAAAGGAGAATGAACAGAATCATAGAAAATAATCGTTTGAAAGCAGACGGAGAAAGAGAAAAGGGTACAAATAACAAATGGGACAAATAGAAAACAAAGAGCAAGATGGTGGGTTTAGGACAACCATAACAATGCCTACATGAAATGTAGATGTGCCTTCCGGAGTTTCAAAGGAGCTAGCAGCTTTGGGAGGTGGAAAGAGTCCTAGACTCAGGAGCCCATCCTTTCCTCTCCAAAAGGTTCACGGAGCCGGGCCAATCGGGCTCACTGACCTTTCTAGCAAATTAATTACACTCACAAGGCCATCACTTCTGAAGACAGAAAATCCAAATGACACACTCTAGTGCTGCTGCCTCCCCCGGCCCCGTGTCTTCTGCCCTCGAGCTGGTCACAACAGCCTTTGATTAGTTCATCCCAAGTATCAGGCCTTGTCCTGCCCTGGGCTGAGCTCCATTGGCCAGGCCAACTCTATAATAATCACTCAGCTCTCAGCTGAAATATCACATCTGCAGAAAGGCTTGCTGAAGCCACCTCCCGAATCTAACCTCACTCGTAGCGTGCATTTTCCTTAACATGTCCGTAACAAAGTGTGTGCTTATTTCTTGAATGAGGTCCTCCCACTAGGCTGTAAGATCTCTGAGGACGGTGAGGATATGTTTGCTCCCACTTCATCACCACGGCCTGGGTCAACCAGGAACTCAACAAAACAACTGAATGGACGAGCAAGTTATGGTACTAATAGTTTTTGAACCCCTAATTAAAAATATTTACTACTAAGAATAATTCAATATAATAAATGCTTTCTCTGGGTCCTATCTGCTTAGGTCACTAAAGTATTAACTAACACTTGACTAGCTGAAAAGACCTAGACAAAGGAACAGGTTGGGCAGTCAGATGCAGATGCATCAGACGCCTCCAGAGCCTTTGCCTGGAATCCCTGCTTACCTCCCTCTTAGAGGGCCACTTCCCTCCCAGTGATCAAGGAGATGGGTGCAGTCCCAAAGGCTTACAATAAAACTGTTTCATTACCTAATTCCAGGACAATGGAGTCATTTAAAAATGTCCTTCAAGGTCCTAGGAAGGCTTCTGAACTGTATTACTTTCCTCCTGCCCCTGAGAGGAGCATATCAGTGACTTTTAAACCACCATCATGATCTACTGATCAAACTACATACCTAAAATGCTAGAAAATATAAAAATCAACTATTCACTTAGTTTTTCAAATGTCCCTTTCAACAAATCTATTCACTTACTAAGGAAAAAGTATCGGAACACCAGCTTTAACAGAAAGTTTTGTATAGGCCAAAAGGTAATGGTTTAAGAAAGTCAAAAACCACCACCAGAACATTTAGATCTTAGCTATTTATACAACAGATTTTCTGAGCAGTGCCTTAATGAGGCAATGAACCATCTGCCTCACTCTGCATCCACTCTGAACCAGGAAACAATAAGGTGCACTATGCAAAACCGGGGCATTCTCTCCCCCCTTGAGATTTCTTTTTAACAGAAAAGAGAATCAATAAAATTACCTATTGCAGGAAATAAGTTTCTAACCTCTAAGTTTTTAAGCCCAAAGCAAGGCTGGATGATGGTAGGAAATGAATCGTGTCCCTCATAAAGATATGTCCAAGTTCTAACCCCCAGTACCTGTGAACGCGACCCTGCTTGGAAACAGGGTCCTTGAAGATGTTATTAGTTAAGCTTATGTGAGGTCGTACGGGAGTAGGCTAGTTTCTAACCCTCTGTGAGTGGTGTCTTTATAAGAAGAAAGGAAGACAGACAGACACAGAAGGAAGCCGGTCACGGGAAGACAGAGACTGGCGTGATGGCAGAGATGGGAACCATGCGTCTACATGTCAAGAACGCCGAAGACTGTCAGCAACCACCAGAAGTCAACCTCCTCAGGAGCCTTCAGAGTGAGCATGGACCTGCTGACACCCTGAGTCTGGACTCCTCACCTCCAGAACGGTGAGACAATCAATCCCTGATATTTTAAGCCCCCCACGTTGTGGTGCTCTGTCACAGGAGCCACAGGACAGGAACACGGACGGCAAGACGTCAGACAGCATACCTTTCCGTATTTGCTGAAAAGGTTCTTCAGATCAGTCGCTCGTGTGGTTGAAGACAGTCCACTAACCCACAGGTTCCTACCAGAACTGCTGCTGACACGACCTGGTGCGAGAGGGAGACAATCACACTGTACCTCAGAGCACAACCATTCTTAAGGCAGTAGCGCTCTTTTAAAATCCTAACAACATCCAATTTTGACTTTCCTCACACAAGAATGTAATTACTGCCAACATACAGGATGGAAGACGAAAAATCTGGATGTCAGAAATATATTTCAGTTTCCTTACTCAGGAACAATCCTGACCATTTCAGCATTACACTGAAATGTCTTTGATGATCAATGATCAAGCAAGATAGCAGTTTCTAAAATTCTTGTTACATTACCATTCAGCAGGGAGAAAGACTCCTGTCCTGTAATTTTCACGATCCCATAAATGACAAGCACAGAACCTCACCAATAATGAAAACTAGTCTTTTAAGATAACGTTACGTGTTTAATTCCAATACCCCACAGCAAAACAACTAGAAATAAACCACCGGATCTAAAATGTGAGCCTGGCAAGCACCTCCCTCCCAAAGTAAGGGGCCCATAGGAGGCTCCCATCCGCATAAGTTAAATCATACCTTTTTCGTCTTTAATGATTGGCTTTATATCTTTTTCTTCCTTAAAAGAGCTAGAGACAAAAGTTAGTGTTACTCACACAGGGCAAAAATGAAGGAGAACTAAATTAAAAGCATGACATGTGCTAAAACTGAATACCTACCAGAAAATTAGTCTGAAATAAAATTGACACCTTTGCAAACTTATATTGGAAATCTGACTCCCCCAAAAAATACAATGTCAGACTCTTAAAAGTCAATTCAATTTAGCTGAAAATAACAAATTAACAATTTAAGAATACAACCATGACAGGTTGAGAAAAAGAAAGGGATCAAATCACCCACTAAAAGATACACAAAGGAAAATAAAACATTCTTTAGAAGTTAACTACAGCAGCATCAGTCTGGCTGGCCAATTGCAGAAAAACAGCTTATGTGTGTCATTAAATGATCAATGAAAAGGAGATAGCGTCTGGTCTAAAACTGAGAAAAAACAAACCTCATTTTCTGATCAGCGCCCTCACTGGTTGAGGACTCTTTAGGAGCCGCAGGGACTTCATTACAAGCTTCAAAATCAAACTTCTTCACGTCTTCTTTGCTATCTCTGGGCTCAGGGCTTGAGGCTTCCCGGGGCGCTTCTGCCACCTCCTCGCCAGAGGCGTCCGCGTCCTCTGCGGCTTGACTACTCTGCTCAACTGGCTTCTCTAGCCCTACAGGCTCACAGTCCGTCCTCTCGCCATCGCCTGTCTGCTCCTCCGGCTCCCTTTTCACTACCGCTAACAGGCTGTCTGCCTTGCTCCACTGAGCGTGTGTTGACTCGCTGGCCAAATCTAAATCACCCTCCTCCTGCTCCTCCTCCGGATGAGCGCTGTCAAAAAGGTCCTCTTCCTCCGCGAGCTTTCTGTCTGGCCCCACGCTACTTGTTTCCTGTGCAAATGGCTGCTCCAGCTCGGAACCTTCTTCTTTTCCTGGCTCAGATTTACAAGTTTCCCCCAAAATGTCGAGTATTTTCTCATTTTCTACGGATTTAACAGGAATAGAATGGCACAAGGTTTAATGACCAGGGAAATAAAGCAATCACAAATGCGGAACTGGCACGGCTGCCACACTAACATGAAGAGAAGGGCTAACTACACAGAGATTGGAAAACCCGAGGGTACAAAAAGTTACCTGCTCCGACTACCTGCACGCCAACCGACTACTGCATTAAGCCTCTACGCTACAGGGAAGAGACAAGGCCCCCAAAGATTTAAGCACCTACAACCACTGGGCTGTTTCTCGGCCGTCTTCTTCGTGTGATGGTTCAAGTCTGGGTCTTCCGACTTATTTTCCAAAGTCCAAGGTGCTGAACCGAACGCAATCACCATTCACTGAACAGCTCAATTTCCAAATTTCTTTGTATTTCTCTTAACAGAACAGTCCAATAAGAAAACCAGAAACTCGTCCAGCGGCAGGAGAGAAACGCAGTCCAGAAGGGGAATAACATGTTGGAAACTTTCCTGAAGAAACTCTGTTTTGTCTTCTGGAATCCAGTCACTTCTCAGGTTAGAACTGCCCTGACCACTGTGTTAGCCTGTCTTAACTGCATTAATCAAAATGGCAGCAGCAAAATATCACAAGATCTGTTTCATGTGTAGAAACACATGTAAGCATCACAGGGGGGAAATTACTTAAGGCCACTCTATATGGTCAGAGAGATGAAAATAAATTATCACTGCATCTCACCAAATATATTTGACCTCAAGAAACCAGAACACCACTTGCACAGATCTGGTGATACGAATGGGTTTCCAATCTCTGATCCTTGAATGATCTGGATTGTCCACCACTAAAACCATATACAAGACCGTAACACAATTTAATACATACACAGCTTAAAAAAAATAGTAGTGTGAAAGAAAACTCGCAAACCGTAACTGTTGTGTTTCTCTTATCAGTACCTGGCTCCAATAGAGGTTCTTCAATATCCTGTTTTAAAAAGAAAAGAAAAACGAAAGGGAATCCACACAGCACTTTAAAAACAAGGCAGATACATTTCTCTGGCTAATACCCACTGCTGTTGAGCCGATTCCAACCCATAGTGACCTGATGGAACAAAGTAAAACTGCCCCCACAGGGTTTCCAAGGCTGTAAATCTTTACGGAAGCAGACTGCCACATCTTTCTCCCGTGGAGCAGCTAGTGAGTTTGAGCCGGCAACCTCTGGGTTAGCAGCCGAGCACTTACCCACTGTGCCACCAGGGCTCCTCTTCCCTAGCTAATATGGCTGTCAATCATCAGTGAATAAATAAATCCCTCTTTCGAAAAAATGACGGCACTCAAAGTCTTCAACTCTAAAATAAGTCAGTGAAGACAAGCCCATTTTGCTAGTTTCTCTCTGGCATGAGGAGACAGGCAGCAGTAATGCTTAGCCTGACCAATTCTCCCGTCAGGGTCTGCTCACTCTGCCCCCAGCCCCAGCCCCAGCCCCACCCCCAGACTCAGAGGCCTCAGCAGCTGCACGTTCCTATCTGTCTCAGGGCCATGGTCCGCCCTTCTGCCCCCAATTCTCCTCTTCCTCCTCACCCGGCTCTCACACAGCCTGGTCACCCGACCTCTCTCAGTGCATTTTGTTTCCTTGATGAATGTGCCTCCCTCGCTTGACTGTCAACTCTGAGACTCTGTTTTACTCAACCTCTGATCCCCAGCACTTTGCTCAGTTATTGTTGTTGGGTGCCATCGAGTTGATTGCAACTTATGGTGACCCCATGTGACAAAGTAGATTTGTCCCATAGGGTTTTCTAGGCTGTAATCCTTATGGGAGCAGATCACCAGGTCTTTCTCCCGTGGAGCTGCTGGACGGGTTCAAACCGCTAACCTTTGGGTCAGCAGCTGAGCGTTTAACCACTGCATCACCAGGGCTCAGTGTCAATGCCCAGTGAGTCATTTTCACATACAAACATACGTCCTGTCAGCTAACCACTCGTCTAAAGGTTCCCATGACACAGAATCAGGTGTCAACTCACCGGAGTTACTTTGAAGTCCAGTGACGAAGCATCCAAAGTGTCCCCGAAGCCTTCCCCATCCACCTGCAAAACGAGGTGGAAGATGACTTTGTGGAGACCAGGGCTTCGAACCAGTTCATTCCGGTTTGAACCCCTGCTGAGAATTTGCATTTTCACCCCAGATACACTGAATCATAATCAACATTTTAACGAGATCCCCTGGTGACTCTCATGTATAATAAATTTAGAGAACCACCGCTCCACTAGTGGGTCTCAGAATTGCTCCCTAACCAGCAGCATTAACATTGCCTGGGAACTTGTTAGAAATGCAGAAATGCAAATTCTCAGCCGGGTTCGAACCTGAAAGAACCCAAGTGGAGACCAGACACAGCCAACAATGTCAAGGCCAACACACCCCACTCCTTTTCAGGCAACCTGGTGGTATATTTCCCTCAGGGCATCTACTGCCATAGGCAAGTCTGCTGTAGGATTATTCCATTTGTCACCTGCCTCCCTGCCCAAGTGCATGCCCTATGAGGACACTGGCACCAGAGATGCTGTCTCTGATAGTGGCTCACAGTTGGCAGGTGCTCTATCCATATTTGCTGAATGAACAAAAGCATTCACTTCCTAGGCAGTTTATATAAACTGGTGATCAGCATCCCCCACCCAATCATGGAATTTTCAGAGGAAACCTACAAGGAAAATGATCCACTTCACACTCTTCCACTTTTACCTAGCAGCATAACACTAAATGGGCAATTCCTTCTAGATCACTTTATTTACAACAGACATCTAACTAGCTATCTCGTCTTCAATTACTAAACAACTATGATCTTCAGTTTACTAAACTTGAAAGGCTTTTATGAGAAATACAAAAATATCCCTTCCAGACAACACACTATACGGGGCAAGTCAGCACAACTGGACGAACAAAAAGCTAAGAAGTTTCCTGAACACAACCAAACACTTTGAGGGATAGAGTAGCAGGGGTGGGGGTCTGAGGACCATGGTTTCAGGGGACATCTAGGTCAACTGTTCTGCATCCCACTTCGCTGAGTAGTATCTAGGGTCTTAAAAGCTTGCCAGCAGCCATCTAAGATGCATCAATTGGTCCCAACCCACCTGGAGTAAAGGAGAATGAAGAACACCAGGGACACAAGGAAAATATTAGCCCGAGACAGACGGGCCACATAAACCAGAGACTCCATCAGCCTGAGACCAGAAGAACTAGATGGTGCCCAGCTACCACCCATGCCCGCCCTGACAGGGAACACAACAGAGAGTCCCTAAGGGAGGAGAAAAGTGGGGTGCAGAACTCAAATTCTAGTAAAAAGATCAAACTTTATAGTCTAAGACCAGAGAAACCCCAGAAGACATGGTCCTTGGACTCTCTGTTAACCCAGAACTATAACCATTCCCGAAATCAACTTTTCAGACAAATACTGGACTGGACTATCAGACATAAAATAATACTCGTGATGAGTGTGCTCCTTGGTTCAGGTAGATACACGAGACTAAATGGGCAGCTACTGTCCGGAGGCGGGATGAGAAGGCAAAAAGGGGTAGGAGCTGGTTGAAACTGGAGTGTAAAGGGGGAGTGTGGAGTGTGCTGTCACACTGTAGAGTGCAACTAGGGTCACAGAAGACTGTATCTATAAATTTTTGTGTAATAAACTAACTGGAGCTGTAAACTTTCACCTCAAGCACAATTAAAATAAATAAAAAAAACCCTTCCAAATAGTTTGCACTTATTTTCGTTCCTAGGTTTAAAGCAGGGAGCCCTGGTGGTGCAATAGCTTAAGCACTCACCTGCTAACCAAAAGGTTGGAGGTTCGAACTCATCAATCAGCTACTCTGGAGAAAGACCTGGAAATCTGCTCCCATATAGATTAGAGCCTACAAAATGCTATGGGGCAGTTCTACTCTGTCATGTGGGGTTGCTGTGAGTCTAAAATTGACTCAACAGCATATAAGAACAGGCCTGAACCCATAACCTGATGCTTCCATTTAAGTTAGAAAGCACATACATGCTCTGAAAATAGTTACACCTACATAAAAGTACCATGTTGAAAGAGGAGTACAAATCAGGTGCTCAATGCCACGCTAGGGCAAGGTGTGGTAACGTTTGGAGTTCATAACATGATTTTTGGCCCTGAAGTTTAATGTTCAGTCCTACAAGGCCACTTTTTTCCAAGGTTTAAAGCTGTTAGGTCCCATCAAGTTGACCAGGAGCAGCTCACCGGCTCTTTCTCCTGTGGAGCTGCTGGTAGGTTCAAACCACCAACCTTTTGATTAGCAGCCAAGTGCTTAACTGTTGCGCACCAGGGTCCTTTTTTTCACTATTATTTATCTTTTTGTACAAGTGTCTGATCTTGGGCATAGAGAATAATGTTTTACCTAATGATGAATTTATGAACAATTTTTGTTTTGTTCTGTTATTATCTGTATGTTTTTAAAGCTACTTTTATAAAAGGAAAGACAAAAAGATACGAGAGTCCAGGAATAAGTGGAGGAAACAAAATGCATGGCTAATTGCCTCCATGCACAACTGCCTCCTTTACCATGAGACCAGAAGAACTGGATGATGCCCTGTTACCATTACTGGAAGTTTTGAACAAAGGTTCTAGAGAAATCTTTGATCAAAAGGGGGAAAATGCAGAACAGAATTTCAAATTCTCATAGACCCAGAACTTCTGGAGTCACGGAGGCTTGATGAACCCCCAAAACTATTGCCCTCATATAATCTTTAAGTCTTAAACCAAAAATATTCCCTGAAGTTTTCTTTAAACCAAACAGAAAATCTGCTTATTTAATAAAGAATGTCTGCCTTGAACATAGTGCTCTTTGACAAACTATATGACATTAAACTGACAACAGCAACTTGAAAGATCAGATAGGAACCTCAGGGTGCAGAGAGTTGTTAATGGGGGAAGAACAATTTGAAAAAGGAGGATGAGAGTGGTTACACAACTTGAAGAATATAATCAATGTCACTGAATTGTACAGGGATAAACTAGTAAATTAGTGTATGTTCTGCTGTGTATACTTTCAACAGTTTAGCTTGATTAGTAAAAGGAAATTTTTGTTATCAACTGTGTCAGACTTTTACTTTATGGCTTATATCAAGCTTACAAAGTATTCTCCAACACTACAAAAAAACAATCCGTTACAGTTAACATCTGATCTAACTAGAGTTTTAAATGGATGTAGTTAACTACCAAGGCTTAGATGGCAAACTAGGTATTTACAGCAATTTAGCTGGATGTTTAATGTTTCTCCTTCTATAAACAGCACGCCATCATACCGGAGTGCCTTGGGGCTCTTGCTACAATTTCACCATTGTCTCCAAGTTACCTACAGCATGTTCTGTGAGTTGAGTTGGAAGTTGTCTCAGCTGTGCAGCCACGTAGTCTTTGCTGTCGCAAAGGGAATAGAGAATGCTGTCTGTGCCATCTTCCCCAAAGTCTGGAGCACTGCCATTATCAACTTCGGTGTCATCTAGCACACTAATATCCATCATGTCAATATTCTGCAAGTTCTCCAAACCTGCTTCCATATCCTCCTGTGAAAGAAAATAAAAAGCATAGGTGACCACGTGGGCCAGAATACAGAGCTACTTCTGTCATCTCCACTGTTAGCTCTACATACCTGCCCGTCTCTGGAATCTTCCTCCAGGCCATTATCTTCTGTGCCTTCCTCCTCTATCTTCTGTCCTAATTACAGAGTAATTGTTCAATCAGATTACACTCAATTTATGGTTTCATAATTCGTTTACACAGCATGATGTACTTCAATCTTGATGAAAACACGCTATAGTGCAACTAAAGAAGTGTCCTTTCTTCTGCCACGTGTAATTTTGTCTCAATTAGCGTTCTCAGTAAGCCATCAACTGGGACATGGGATTTCTGTAATACTGGAGCTTCTAGCCTAAGACAGACTAGGAAAACAACCCTGACCATCTACTTCTGAAAATCAGCCAACGAAAACCTTACAGATCACAACAATCTGATTCACCACAGTTCATGGAGATGGCACAGTATGGGCAGTGTTTTGCTCCGTTGTGCATGGGGTCGCCATTAGTCGGGGAGATCTAGTGGGTGGAGGCCAGGGATGTTGCTCAACATCCTACAAAGCAAAGGACACGTCCCTATGACAAATGATTATTTATTCCACCCACACTGTCAACAGTGCCAAGGTTGAGAAACTGTTGGGTTCACCATGCAATGCCCTGCAATTTTAAAAACGTGGGGATGTGTTCGTAAAACGGACGTGGATGGGACCACTGACAACAGTGGTTAAAATCAGACATATTTTTGTCATTGTTAGGTGCCATCGAGTCAGTTCTGACTCACAGGGATCCTATGCACAACAGAAAAAAACACTGGCCAGTCCTGTATACATTTTTGCTCACTTCCCAAATTACTTGTTGGGCACTGTGTGCTGCAAAGGGTTAACGTGCACACTACTCACCAAAAAGTTGGTAGTTTGAGTCCACCCAGAACCACTCTGGAAGAAAAGCCAGGCAATCTACTTCTGAAAGGCCACCGAAAATGCTATGGAGTACAGTTCTGCTTTGACACACATTGGGTCACCAGGAGTAGGAGTCAACTCGATGGCAACTGGTTACTGTGATCTCTATATTTCATTACGTAATACTTCCAATAACACCAGTAAAAGTTTTATTATCTGCACCTGACACTGAGAAATGATTCGGCTCTAAAGCTAGGAGTTTTCAAAACTCAGCTGTACTGCTTCCCATTGCATCTAACCACAGCATATCCTTTGGAAATACACTGTCTAAAAATGTCTGGTAATTATCCCCTATCTCTAGACCTCTAAATAGCAGTCTGCAGTGCCCACACAGGATGCATAAAGGAGAGCAGCAGACCAAAAAGCTTCCCAAGTGAAGCAGCGGTGACAAAAATGCAGTGCACAGACAGGCTGTACCACCACCCCAAGGGCCAGGTCTTAGTTGGAAAGAGCTGACAGGGTGGTTGACACAGACTTGGGAAAATGACATTTTCATCCCACACAGAACCTAATTCAAAAATGTAATCTTTTAAAACACACCCACAAGTTTTCAACAGCTTTGCCTGTTTAGATGAGTTAGGGGAGAGGACTCTTCTGACTCATCTTGAGAAGTTTTCCCTCAGGAAGTCGAGCGATTCCTTAACTTTTTGAAAGAAGGCAATTACTCAAGAATCCAAAAAATCAGTTGAACTTGGTTGCAGTGTCCGGAAAACACCTGGTCAGTGTATCCTAATCAACACTTTCATCAAATTAGGAGGATCTACTTCCAACCACACAACCAAATGCCCAGATGCTTTCAAAGAATGCCGCCAGCTCAACATGGAAGACGTAGAACTGCAGGGACTATGCTCTGTGGGCCACCTCTCTCAGTGGCCTACTTGGTGGTGGTGGGTGTTACCTGCCGTGAAGCTGCCCCCAATTCATGTCAACCCCACGTACGACGGAACAAAATGCTGCCTGGTCCTGCGCCATCCCCATGATTGGTGGCAGACTGGACCATAGTGATCTATAAGGTTTTCACTGGCTGGTTTTTGGAAACAGATGGCTGGGTCTTCTTCCTAGTCCGTCTTAGTCTGGAAGCTCTGCTGACACTTGTTCAGCAGCCTAGCAACAGGCAAGTCTTCACTGACCACTGCCAAGAGTCAAACCCTGCATGGAAGGTGAGGATTCTACCACTAAAATCACCACTGCCTCCAAGGCTTGGTTACTTCTCTGTAAAAAGAAAGAGGACAGGAGCAGATCTTCTAAGCCCCACGAAAAATGAGGCTACAAACATTCTTTTTATATCCATATAAGTAGCTCTTATTAAAGTTTTTCTGACAAAATGCTAACTCCAAATAGTTTTGATTTGACCTAAGTTTTAATCCAGACATTTAGCCAAGCATTTGAAGCACTCAGCTAAAGTTGAACTTTTATTATGATGGGACGATCCCTGTTAGGGGCCAAGAACATTTTGATTAGTTAAGTCTTAAACCTCAGAGTTAAATGACCAGCTACATAAAATTTTTTTTTAAATTGTATTTTTAAGTCATGTTTACAACTACTCAAAACCAGACTTTCAGATCATGGATGATTTAACAGCTAACCACAAGAGGTGTTCGTATGTTTCCTACTGTAGACCAGTCTCCCACATTCTGTATCTGTTTGGATAGCCCAAGCTTAGAGCTGAAATATGGACAGTTATGCAAACAGCATAACTACATCAATGTTTTAAAATTAAATTTAAGCTTATATACTTTATGTAACCTACGTCCTGAAAAAACTTAACCTTTAAAACACAGGCTCAAAGTTTAAAAAACTCAATGAATTATAGGAAAGTTTTTCTAGGAAAAACTTAAAATAAACTGAAATTGTTGCCAATGTTATAAATTAATATCGTTCTACTTTCTAAGCAGCTGTCCTCCATTGTCTGAAATTCAGTGCTTCTTCAGATGAACAGAACACGTACAGCTGTAAGAATTCTTCTGTGTGGCATCTTTCAAACCAAAAAAAGCCTACCATGAAAGAATTTTGCACTACATTCTCCATATTACTGAAAATCTAACAATGAGGACGAGAGTCCACAAGTGGAGGTTTCAAACTTGTAGGAAATTAAATGCTTCTGAAAGAACACTGAAATCAGCTATAAAAAGGAATGAAGTACTGATACACACAACACAGACAAACCTTAAAACATGTTGAGTGAAAGAAGCCAGACACGAAAGGTCATGTATTATATAAGTCCGTTTATATGAAACGTCCATAATAAGCAAATCCACAGACAGAAATTAGATCAGTGGTTGCCTAAGACTGTCGGAGGTGACATGGGCAGTGACTGCTTAATGGGTACAGGACTTCTTTCGGCCTGCTGAAGATGTTCTGAAATTAGATAGTGGTGACGGTGGTACATCCTCATGAATATACTAACAACCACTAATTTGTACACTTTAAGTCAATCTTATGGTATATGAATTACACCTCATTTAAAGAAAAACAGATCATTCACCTGTACGTGTAAAATATAAATATTTTATCTATAAACCCATTACAGAAAAAATACACGGGTAAAATACCAATTTGGTGCAAATGCCCCAACAACCCGTTCTCGACCTAGCAAAGCTGGCTCCTATTCGATCTGGAAGGAGCCCTGGTGATGCAATGATGAAGTGCTCAGATACGAATCAAAAAGTTGGTGGTTCAAACTCATCCAGTGGCTCTGTGGGAAAAAGACCTGGCAATCTGCTTCTGTAAAGATTACAGCCTAGAAAACCCTACAGGACAGTTCTACTGTTACATGGGTCCCTATGAATCTGATGTTGACTGGACAGCACCTAACAACATTCAGTCTTGGGTTGGTGTCATTTTCCTTGGTTTGAGAGCTGTATTTTGAACCAGGAAGGAAGCCCAGCAGGGGTATCTGGTTGGTCAGACCAGTTGGGACAGCTTGAACAACATACCTTTGTCTGATTCTTTTTAATCCCAATGATAAGAGCAATTACTTAGCACCTGCACTTCTCTTTGCTCCTCCCGCACCCCTGACATAGCTACTTGTTAGGTGATGAAGAGCCAGCCTGCTTCTTAGATCAGGACCACTGAGGCTCAAAGAGATCCTTCTCCTGGTAGAGAGAACAGGAAGAGTGCTAACAACCAGTTCTCTAAATTCACTAAAAGGAACCCTGGCGATGCAATGGTTAAGCACTCGACTACTAACTGAAAAGCTGGCAGTTCAAGCCCACCCAGAAGCTCTGTGGGAGAAAGACTGCTGTTGTTGGGTGCCATCGAGTTGATTCCAACTCATAGTGATCCTACAGGATAGAGCAGAAGTGCCCCCAGAGGGAGCAGATCAGCAGGTCTTTTCTGTCGCAGAGCTACTGGTGGGTTTGAACTGCCGACCTTTTGGTTAGCAGCCAAGCACTTAACCATTGCACCACCAGGGCTCCTTCCCCTAGAAAACCCTATAGTGCAGTCTACCCTGTCACATGGGGTTGCTATGAGTTGAAATCTCCTCAAGGGCACACGAGTTCTCTAAATACTCAAGCTCCAAGCAAAATTAAGTACAAGTGGATACCTTTAACACATTTCTTTGTTGTCTTCTTGCTGGTGACATCTAACTCTATATCAAGTTCATCAGGATCTTGCCCTTCTTCCTTAACAGCCTATTAGGAAAAGAGGAAATTTACAACATTATCAAGCAGTTACCTGGCACACACTGTTCTTTATAAGTAACAACCTCCCAGTAAACAAAGGCAACTCTTTCTTTGCGAAATGCAACTCTGGTTCTGCTATCTGGACTGCAAGCCCAAAAGGTACAGGATGGACTCAGTACAACTTGAGTTCTCTCTGGGCCCAATGCCCAAAGCCAAAGGAGAGGCACGCTGCAGGCGTATGTGAGCTGGAGCTCCAGCACGGGGTTAATGACCAGTTCCAAACTGGATAATGTCCAAACTGCTAACTTTTAGTTAACACCGAAACAAATAATGAGACAGGCGAAACTTGATCCTGCATGGGTGAAGGGCTGGGTGGTGTTCAACAGGCCATCTTTGACCTCTGGGGAAAAAAGAACCAACTGCAAGGGTAGATTGAAGGTTGGTGGTTTCACTCAACAGGTACTTCAGTACCTTCCGTGCGCCTGGCATAGAACTGGGCACTCAGTGGGGAACTGACAAGGTCCCTACCCTCAAGGAGCTTGTTCTAGTGGTGGAGACAGAATCCCCACGTAATCAGTTTGTGCTAAGTGACTCCGGGATATAAGCACAGGATGATACAGTGTAGGACAAGGAAATGGAGCAGCGTTTTCAAAAGGCTAGTTATGGAGATGACATGTCACACAAACCATAAACGTTAAGATGCCGCCAAGAGATCTGGGGAAGAACAGTTCGAGTTGAGGGCACAGCAAGTGCAAAGGCCCTGGGGCAGGAACAAGAATAACCAACTTTTCCCGTAAGATCTCAAAGACTCTTCAGACCCCGTCAGGTCGGCGACCAGAGGCTCCAAGGGAGAAAACTGAGACGCACGGAGAAAGGGGAAGGCACTTGTCCAAGGTCACAGAATTGAGACTCAAACCCAAGCCCCAGGAAGAGACCAAACGCCACCCTGGTGGCTAAGAAGTCCAGCTTTCAGAGCAGTTGAGAGTGCTTGGAAGGAGAGGAGGGAGCGGGACACAGTGAGAAGCGGTGACGCGCCAAGGTCACACAGTGAGGCCCCCGAGTACCGGACAGCTCGGACCGGGGTAGCTACGAGGAGGGTGGGCTGGGGGCGCCCCGGGCCCAGGCGCCAGGCCAGCGTGGGGGCGTGCCCCGGCCCCCTGCGCCACCCCGGGGCCCCGAGCGTCACCTTTTTGAGCCGCTCCATCAGGGCGCTCTTGTTGCCACCCGTGTCCAGGTTCCGCTTCTTCAACTCCGCCCGCAGGTCGATAACCCGCAGATCGCTGAGCCGCCGCGTCCCGGTCTCTGAGGCGTTCGAGTCGACGGCGGCCGTGTCAGAACCCGAGTCGCCCGGCCCTGCCAGAGTCTCCGCCATCCTGGGCTTCCTGTCTCCGCCACCTACTTCCCACACCGCCGGCAGCTGTAGCGGCTCTGAACACAAAATGGCGCCGCCTAAGAGGAAAACGCACTCGCTTCCTCCCGCCCCGCTTTCCGGCGCGCATGCGCGCCACCCCAACCAGCACTCTTAGCCGCCAGCGCGCTCGCGCGCCGACTAACCGCAAGCTCCGCGCCACAACGCGCAAGCGCCGTAACTGCAGCCGCATGTTTCCCGGCCCCTCGCGGCGGGAGGCTGCCGGGGCGCAAGGCGCCTGCGCACACAACCCCCGCAAGTTTCTTATTGCGCATGTGCAGATGTGACCTAAAGCGTCGGCCTCGGGCCGAGTGCGTCTGCGCAAAAGCGAGGCGCGCCGGGGCGGCTGGAGCGGTTCCTTCTGAGGCGGCGCCATTTTGTGCTAGGAGCCGAGATTCAACCGGCCCGGTTCTGTGTGAAGTGGGCGGCGGAGCCAGGGCCCCTGGAATGGCGGAGACTCTGTCAGGCCTAGGCGATTCGGGTGCGGTGGGCGCAGCTGCTCTGAGCTCCGCCTCGTCGGAGACCGGGACGCGGCGCCTCAGCGACCTGCGGGTGATCGACTTGCGGGCGGAGCTGAAGAAACGGAATCTGGACTCCAGCGGCAACAAGAGCGTTTTGATGGAGCGCCTGAAAAAGGTAGAGCTGGGGGAGGACAAAAGGAGGATTGGGGGACCCCGCAGCCGCGACAGTTGTTTCCTCGCCCCCAGGTCCGCCCCTGGCCCCGTTTGTGGCCTGCCGGGCCTGCCCCGACTCGCCGCGCGTCGCGGCCGCTCTCGGCTGCTCCCGGGCCCCGGCGGGTGTTTAGAGGCCGCGTGTGATCGCTGAGGCCAGCCAGGCCAGGGTTCAAATCCCAGCGCCGCATTGGGGCGGGGAAAAGAGAGAGGAAAAAAAAAAAACGACGCGGACAAGAGAAAAGGTCTCGGTCCGTAGCTCGTGGCAATGGGTGATACGGGCCGAGGGCTTGTGTTTTCTGCATCAGCCACTGCGCCGAGGGCTCCCCTCCCATTGTCTCGTTTCACCGCCTGTAACCGGACGAGGGAACCTGAAATCCTCACCTTAAGGGACTCGGCCAAGGTCACACGGCCGGGAAGTGGTGGCGTCGGGATTTGAACCCAGGCTGGCTGGCTCCTGAGCGCGTTTTCTTTTCGGACGATTCCCCTTGACTGTTAGGGCCCTCAAGCCCGGAATATGGGGTTCGGTTACAAAATAAAACATACAAAGAGGAAAGAGTTTAACGATTTACCGGAACTAGTTGGGAGGAATTGAGAGAATAATAGTATTTACAATTGTTATTGTTGTAGCTGCCCCATGTGTTTCAAAGTGGAATTGCCGCCTGGGGTTTTCTTGGCTGTAGTCTCTATGGGAGCAGATCGCCAGGCCTTTCTTCCACAGAGTAGCTGGGTGGGTTCTAACCGCCAGCCTTTCAGTTAGCCGTGGATCTCGCTTAACCGGTGTGCCACCAGGGCTCCTTGGTATTTACCTAGACCCATTGCCATGGAGTCGATGCCGACTCACAGCGGTCTTGCAGGACGGTAGAACTGCCCCAAAGGGTTTTTCTAAGGAGCGGCTGGTGGATTTGAACTGCCAACTTTCTTGGTTAGCAGCCTGAGCTCTTGACCATTGTGTATCCAAAGTTCTTTAGTATTTACAGTAGCAATGAAATATACAATATAGTAAGGTTTAGGGAAGAGTAAAGGAAAGCTTCAGAACTTTACTCGGAGACAACAGGTAGGGATTGAGGGCTCGGCCAGGTCATAGTGGCCTGATCGTGATCAAGGAAGGCATTTAACCACTTCTGAGCCTGTTTCTTCTGTGCAAAGAAGAAAATAATGGTGTTTTCATTTTAGGGTTAAGTTTAAGAGAGCATGAAACGGGCTGGGCATATTGCCTGGCGCATTTGAACAGTAAGTGATTGCTGTTGTAATTCACTCCTGTTGCCACCATTTTGCAAAGCAGGGGCTCTAACCCTGCCTGGGCCCAGACAGTGTTTTGTTCAGTTGTGGACAGGGTTGCTGAGTTAGAACTGACTTGAGGGCACCTCAGAACCCCTGTCTTGAGTGATTCATTCTGAGGGATCGGTATGAAATGCTCAGTTAAGTACATTAGTGCCCTTCTAAGGAGTCTAGTGGTACAAAGGTAAAGCACTTGGCTCCTAACCTAAAGATCAGAGGTTCAAACCCACCCAGTTGTTCCGCCAAGAAGATCGTTTTGGGCAGTTCTACTCTGTCACGTCGGGTTGCTAATGAGTCCGAATACTCTCGACCTCAACTAACGACAACAGTGCCCGTCTACTTCTTGCATTTTCCTCATTCCTTTCGACTTCCTTTTCCTACCCAGGCCTTGGTACCTCTCCTAGGTAATCTCTCAGCCTTGCCATCTACCCCCCAACCCTGTCCTGCAGACAGTGGGGCTGGTGACTCATTTCCCCCTTCTGTCTCCCAAACAACTGAAGATCAGGATTGTATTATCTGTTACTATTAAGAGGAAGCAGGGTTGATGTTTCCTATTTTTCCGATGAGGAAAATGAAGCTCAGGAGTGCTTATTTGACTTGTCCAGGGTTACTTGGGCCTTTGTAACTGAAGCCTGTGTTCTTTTACTGTGAATACTGTGTTCCTTTATGCAGGGCAGGAAGTTCTCTGACCAAGATGTGACCAAAAGGGTGGGGAGACATCGTCCATGTTCTTACTGTAAACTAGGGCCTCCCATCAGCAAAGCCAAATTGAGGGGTTTTACCCTCTCCTCCCCAGGCAGCATATAAGCACATATACTTTACAAAGCTGATATGATGGCATTGAATCTTCCTGTCAGTTTGGTGGCTGAGAGTGGCTGTGGCTTCAGGATTCCCTCATCGCTGTCATCTCTGAGGAGACAAATCCATCCCTCCTCCTCTCTCTTGGTTAAATACCATCAGCCTGTATTGCCGCCCAAGAAGGACACTTATCTTTTTCTGTCCCACTTCTGTCATCCAATTAGTATCATTTTCTTGGTTTATTTCTCCAAGAAGGGCAAAAGAGCAAGAGGTCGGAGGGAACAGTAATTTACCAAGGCCTGTCCATGAGTTCTACTTTGTCCAACAGAGTCCTGGTGAGTCGAAATTGACTACACAGAGTGGGTTTTTTTTGGGGGGGAAAGAGGTAACCCATGAGTCGGAATTAACTGGACAGCAGCTAAAAGCAATGACAATGTAAGAATGACTCAGCACCCTGTCTTCCTCAGGATAACCCTGTAAACACTGCATCCAGGGGAGACACACTGAGGGATGGAATGGGACACCTCCCACCTGGGGCAGTTCTTCCCTTCTGCTCCTGCTGCTGCTGACAGCTCAGGGTGTTGCATAATTGACTTTCCTGAAGAGGGGGGACTTTCTGGTTTGCTTTTCTTGACCCCAGGACAGAGCTGGAATTCCTACTTCTGGTTCCTGTGAGAGGAGAGACTTCCTTTGCGCCTGGTACCAAGTTATCTGTGGAGCCCCTAAACACTGTTCTGGGAAACTCTGATAATCTTTGAGACTTTCGACCCCCCCCAAAAAAAAACCAAGCCCGTTACCATTGAGTCTGTTTCGACTCATAGCAACCCTGTAAGACAGAGTAGAACTGTCTCGGGGTTTCCATGCTGTAAATCTCTATAGAAGCAGACTGCCAGATCTTTCTCCCACGAAACAGCTGGTGGGTTTGAACCACAGGCCTTTCGGTTAGTAGCTGAGCATTTACTTTTAAAACCGCACATCAATAAAACACAAGGTTTACGTGAATTTAAGGTAGACGTGTGCTGATAGGGTACTATAGTAAAAAGAGAAAGGGTTATCAGTAAAACCGAAACTTGAAGCCCAGTTTCTAGGGATGCCATCACTGGTATGTTCATCACTGATTTGCTGAGTGCCTACTTGGTGTCAGGCAGCGTGGTGAATGTGGGGGCTGTTCGAGTGAAGGATCGGAGCTCTTGGTGTGGGAGGCAGGCTTGCTAAGAGACCTTCTAATTCAGTATCACATGAGGCAGGGTACCTAGTGGTTGAGAGTAGGATCTTTGGAGTCAGTCACGGATGCAATTGTGATTGGACAAGGTGATATGTGTTGAGTCTAGTGCTATGCCAAACACGCATTAGAAACTCGGGGAGGCCAGTGAGTGTTAGCGTTCTGTGTAGACAGTACCCAATGCAGGCATGGCATGAGAAGGGAAGTTAACGCATTGCTGGCTAAAGTCAGAAGATCAGAAAGTGTGCTTTTCCATTTGAGTTAATGTAGTTCCTTTGGGTCCAAGAATAGGATGGAACAGATTGTGGTGGTAATAGTATTTAAAATAAACCTAATGTTTGTTGAGTGCTCGCTTTACACGGATTATAGAGTCCTTGCAGGAGTCTTCCAGGGTAAGTACTATTACTAGCCTCATGTCCCAGAGGAAAAGCAAACTGAGCAATTAAATAAACTTGCCTAAGACCACACAGCTCACAACGTAGTCAGTCTGTCTGACTCCACAGCCCTTACTCGAATGTAGAGTAAGAGATGGTGGGATAGATAATGGGGCAAGGGGGTGCATTTCCAGCTCATCAGGTCTTTAAGTCCCCTTGTCACCTGAAGGTTTGTTCTGAAAGTCAGTCTGTGTGCTTTTTTGGTCAACTTTTCTTTTACTTGCCCTTTAGGCAATTGAAGATGAAGGGGGTAATCCTGATGAAATTGAAATTACCTCTGAAGGAAGCAAGAAAACATCAAAGAGATCCAGCAAAGGTATCAAGGATTTTATAAACATTCCTGATGTTAAGAGCTTTCTTTAAAACGACTTGCTTTGCTAATTCTCTTTGTTTACTTGGACACACAAGCAGTCCTGTGAACAAGGCTTTACATTCTCTTGAGATCCTACCACTGTGTAGGGTTGTCAACTGCCCTTACTTGTCCAGAACCTTAAAATTCTTTAAATTCAGAGTATTTAAGATTGAGTTCCTCTTGCTCTGACTTGCAGAAAATAACCTCTCCTTTAAATACCAGCTGATGGAAACGGAAGTGTTACTTTTACAGATATTTGTTTCAAAAACTGCCTACAGA